TATGTAGGTTTGTGAATTTCAATAAAATTAACTGAAATCTATAAATTCTATAATTGGGTTTGATTTTTGTGCAAAAAGAAATATAATTGGTTTATGATCTGTAAATAGAAATAGAACTGTTGGATGTTTTGATCAAAGTATCAGTAATTCATATTCTCAAAGTGTCTGTATTATAGCTGTACATTCTCTCATGAGGGTAGAGAGTCGTAGTTCAGCTTGTGTAAATAAACAAGAATTTGCTGATATGAGATTCATCTTGTTTGTTCGTTTATGTGATTGTAATAATGCTGCGCCGTTGCCAAAATTCGAAGCATCGCATATTTCGTAGAATGGTTGATTCGGATCTGGAATTGTGTTTGAAATTTGTTCTGTTAAAAGTTTTTTTCATATCTTCAACGTGTTTGATGTTCAGTAGTCCATTCAAAATTATTTTGTTGTCGAAGGATGTTATAAAAAGGTCTCAAGTATAGTTGCCTTTTGTATACATATTTGCTTAAGAAACTCAACATTCCAAGGAATTCTGGGATTTTCTTTTTTTTCTAGGTGGTTGAAGTTTTTGAGTTGCGTCGATACGTGATTTTAATGAAGTTATTGTGATTCTTTCAATAATGTGTCCAAGGAAATTTACGCGTGTTAGGAAAAAATTTGATTTATCTGGGGTTGCTTTCATGTTTTCGTTTTGAAGTTATTGATGATATTGTTCTAAGACTATGAACATTTCATCTTTAGTTTGTGATTGCATGAAAACATCGTCTAAGTATGTGATTGCATTTTTATTGAGTATGAGTGGTCCAAAAATTTTACTCATAAAAGCTGAAAAAGCTGCTGGTCCTATGGATATTCCATAGAATAATCTATTAAATTCGTATTCTTGATTTCCAATAACGAATTGTGTTAATTGTCGTGATTGTTCATCTAAAGGAATTTGATTATATGCACTATTCATATCTGCGGTTGTGAAATATTTTCCGTTAATTTTTTTTTAAATTACTTGAATGGGTTCAATGAGCTAATTACATTTCAATTAGTGAATTGAGTTATCTAGCGTCTAGAACTATTTTTTGTGATTCTCCTTTAGCTAGGATGATAACTGGGTTGATAAAGTTGTTAACTTTTGCTTGTTCTTCCTTATTTACGGGAGATATACTGTTCTAAAATGTCATGTAATCGGTTTACTTTATCATGTAAGTGTATTGGTATTTTGCTTGCTCTTTGTTTTTTAAAAATGCATCAGGTTTTAAAGGTAAATATTATGTGAAATTACTTTTCCAACGTCAAACTTAGATGTTGCGTAAACTGTTGGATTTTCTAACAATAATTTGGCTTATTTGTCAAACTCGTTTTGTGTTATTTAGGAGTGTTGAAAATTAAACATCGTTAAAAAATTTTGTTGGTCTATTGTATATTGTGATAAATTGAATGTTGGTTTAAAATAAGGTGTTTTTGTGAAATAATTTGTATTTTTTTTTCGTTACCTATTATATTATATATTGACATTTCTTCGTCAAAAATTGTTGATTGACAAAGATCTATTAGTTAAAACATATTAATGACGCGATACGCTACTTCGTTTGTGGGTGAGGTTGTAGCATTTGTTTCACAAAATCCTAAGAAACATAGAGGTAATGTTATTTGAATTCGTGATATGGTAGAACTTCGAGAAACATGGTGGTTGTTTGTTTAATCTTTGAAAGAATGTTAAGGCTGTGTTTTTCATTCTAGTATACTTATCTTTTATTTGGATTTTACTATTTAAAATTTTTTGTTAAAATATATTTAGTAATAAACGGTATGCCAAATTTGCTATGTTTTATATCTGTAATGTGAAATAATTGTTTAAACATTTTGGTCAAATTTTTATTTTGTTCCATTGTTCTAGTGGCAATAAGGGAAAGTTGAATTTTCCATAATTATTTAACGTTGATCCTTGTGCTGTTGCTAGCTTACTGGCTGTTTTCATAGGTATTAAGTTTGGATGTAACGTTTTAGTTTCATTCCAAGAGGGATTATCAATGATATTTGATTCTGTTCCTGAGTCGATTAAAAAATCTATTTCAAGATCTGGTGGTTGGAATTCTTTATTTTCTGGGCTCTCTAAGAGGAATGGGAATTGACAAATTTTTTTCTCGTGGTTGTTCTTTTTGTATGTTCTGATAAATATGATTTGTTTTTGAGCATTGTACCTTTTCTTTTTCATCGGGTTTGATTACAGTGTTGATTTCATTTGCTTTTTGTGTGACTAGTACATTATTAATAATAGGTCTATTATAATAATTATGAAGAAGTTCCAATTGATTTTCTTAAATGTGTGAACTGAAGGGTTGATCTTTTATGATAGGTTCGTAGTCATTTTCGAGTTTCATTAATTTTACTGAGGTGGTGTTATTTGTATCACTTTCGCTATCTGTTGATTCACAATTAATGTGATTTAATTGTAATTCGGTATTTTCTGTATCATCGATCCCAGGGGGGTCTGAGGTTGTTTCTTCAGTTGTTTGTACTTGGTTATACTGTCTTTGATGCTTCGGTTTATTGCTTCTATATTTGTGTTGAGATTGTGGGTAACGGCTATTATTCCTGTGAGGGCATTGGGAATAATTTCTTTGTCTACTATTATACCTTGAATTTCGATTTTTTGAAATGTTTCTTGATCTGTTTTGGTGATTATCATTGGATCTTTTATAATTTGATATTTTGTATGAAATATTTCTTGATCTGTTTTTTTGTTAATTTTGATTTCGATTATTTGAATAACTTATATTTCTATTGTTGAAATAATTTCTATTTCTATTGTATGATGAGTTTCGTGATCTATTGTTGAAATAGTGCCTATTCCTAGAACTTGAATGGGTACTGGTATCATATTCTCTTCTGTTTGAGTTCGATCGTGAATACTTGTTTCGATGTTGATTATTTTGACTATTTGATCGCCTATATCTGTTTTGTGAGAATTTTCGTGAAAATCTTTGTTCTGGAGATCTACCTCTAAAACTCGAGTTGTATGGTGTTCGTTTTCGGGAATAATTTGAGTCACTTGGGAGTGGTTTTCCAGAACTGTTGTTACTATGTATGTTTTTGTTTGCTAGATTTTGATCTTTTTTTCATGTACTGATAGAATGATTTATTTTGTTCTTTGTATTTTTGTGGTTTTTTTTGATTGTCTTGTTGCGTTTGCCTACTTTCAGCAATAATATATCCGCATCCTCGGCAATAATTACACCATTTCTTGTAAGATGATTTAACTTTGAATTTGGGATTTTTCTCATATATATTCAAAGTTTCAGTGATTTTTTCAGATAGATCTACATCTGAATTTTGTATATTGTTTATGTGTGTAGTATTTGTTTCGATTCTGTTAACATATTGTAGCTAGAGATTTTCTGTTTCTTCAAGTTATCCTGGGTCAGGTAAGAAGAGGGTTCAAGTCAAGGATGAATAACCGAATTACTTCACTGTTCATCCTAATTAAAATGGTTAGAGTGATTGAAAAATTTCTATTAGTCCTGGGTCTTTTGAAAGGTTTGGGTAGTGAATCGACGTTTGAGGACGTTAGACACTTGTTAATTGGGTGGGGGAGAACAAAGTTGTTCTATTTGATCCAAGGATAATCCTTGATGATCAGAATATTAATTTTGATACAAAAATAATTAAGTTAAAAGTTTAATTGAGATCCAAGGAAAGCCTTGATGATCTAATTTTGAGAGCAATACGGTTGAGTTAAGTAGGGATATAATTTAGGATCAGCATTTTGAAATAATTTAAAGTTTAATTTGGTAAAAAGGTTTAGTTGTTTATGTTATTAGTGAAGTTATGATTGCTATTATGTTTAGGTGATGAAGCTGGAGATGACGAGATGATTTATGTTTACCAAAAATTTATGATATTGTTTACTATTTTTTATTTTTGTTTTTCGGTTACCTTTTTTGAATTTACTGCAGAATTAGGGAGAACGATTTGAGGTGTTTTTATCAATCGTTGTTGTATAATAGTAAATTTGGTTTAGCGCCTGAAATGATCATCGAAGATTTTCTTCAAGGATTTATGTTTGCAAATGAAAACCTAAATTCATGCTAAATTATGATGTCAAGATATTAGGATATTAGGATTTAGGTGTATTAAGATATTAAGATATTAGGATATTAGGATATTAAGATATTAGGATATTAAGAAATTAAGATATTAAGATTTTACGATATTATTATATTAAGATAAAAAAGCAGTAAGATAATAAGATATTAGGATATTGAGATATCGAGATTTTGAGATCTTGAGATAATGAGACTTTGAGATAGTAAAATTTTAAGATACAAAGACTTAAAGAAACTAAGATTATAAGATATTAAGATATTAGTATATTAAGATATTAGGATATAGATATTAGGTGGTGATGGTGATGGTGGCGATGCTGGTGGTGACTGCGGTGGCGTTGATGGTGATGGTGTTGGTGATGGCGGCGATGATAAAGATGGTGACGATGGTGAGAGCGACGATGACGATTCTTATGTTGGTCGTGATGGTGCTGATTGTGATGATGTTGATGCTGGTGATGCTGGTGATGGTGCTGATGTTGATGCTATTGGTGGTTTTGATGGTGGTGATGATGTGGTAGTGATGTTTAGTTGGTGATGGTTTTGGTGGTGGTGATGGCGAAGGTGGCGTTGGTGATGGCGGCGATGGTCGTGATGGTGGCGATGATGGTTGTGGTGATGTTTTGGGAATGGTGATGGTGGTGATGGTGATGTTGATTGTGATGCTGGCGATGGTGGTGATGGTCGTGATGTTGGTGATTAATATGGTGGCCATGGCGGTGGTGTTGGTGGTGGCGGTGATGATAAAGATAGTGACGATGTTGATGGTGTTGTTGGTGATGGTGATGGTGCTGTTGATGGTAGTGGTGATGTAGTCGAAATGGGGATGGCGGTGATGGTGATGTTGATCGTGATGCTGGCGATGGTGGTGATGGTGAGGGTAGTGACGGTGGTGGTGATGTTGATGATGATATGAAGATGTTGCTGATGGTGGTGATGGTGGTGATGGTGGTGATGGTGATGGTGATAGTGATGGCGATGGCTGCGGCGATGGAGATGCGGGTGATGGTGATGATGATGGTACTGATGATGTTGATGCTGGATGTGATGGTGATGGTGGCGATGGTGGTGATGGTGGTGATGTTGGTGATGGTCGTGATGTTGGTGATTAATATGGTGGCCATGGTGGTGGTGTTGGTGGTGGCGGTGATGATAAAGATAGTGGCGATGTTGATGGTGTTGTTGGTGATGGTGATGGTGTTGTTGATGGTAGTGGTGATGTAGTGGAAGTGGGAATGGTGGTGATGGTGATGTTGATTGCGATGATGGCGATGGTGTGATGGTGAGGGTAGTCACGGTGGTGGTGATGTTGATGATGATATGAAGATGTTGCTGATGGTGGTGATGGTGGTGATGGTGGTGATGGTGGTGATGGTGGTGATGATGGTTGTGGTGATGTTTTGGGAATGGTGATGGTGGTGATGGTGATGTTGATTGTGATGCTGGCGATGGTGGTGATGGTCGTGATGTTGGTGATTAATATGGTGGCCATGGCGGTGGTGTTGGTGGTGGCGGTGATGATAAAGATAGTGACGATGTTGATGGTGTTGTTGGTGATGGTGATGGTGCTGTTGATGGTAGTGGTGATGTAGTCGAAATGGGGATGGCGGTGATGGTGATGTTGATCGTGATGCTGGCGATGGTGGTGATGGTGAGGGTAGTGACGGTGGTGGTGATGTTGATGATGATATGAATATGTTGCTGATGGTGGTGATGGTGGTGATGGTGGTGATGGTGGTGATGGTGATGGTGATAGTGATGGCGATGGCTGTGGCGATGGAGATGCGGGTGATGGTGATGATGATGGTACTGATGATGGTGATGCTGGATGTGATGGTGATGGTGGCGATGGTGGTGATGGTGGTGATGTTGGTGATGGTCGTGATGTTGGTGATTAATATGGTGGCCATGGTGGTGGTGTTGGTGGTGGCGGTGATGATAAAGATAGTGGCGATGTTGATGGTGTTGTTGGTGATGGTGATGGTGCTGCTGATGGTAGTGGTGATGTAGTCGAAATGGGGATGGCGGTGATGGTGATGTTGATCGTGATGCTGGCGATGGTGGTGATGGTGAGGGTAGTCACGGTGGTGGTGATGTTGATGATGATATGAAGATGTTGCTGATGGTGGTGATGGTGGTGATGGTGGTGATGGTGGTGATGGTGGTGAGGTGGTCACCGTGATGATGGTTTTGGTAATGGTGGTGTTGGTGATTGTGGTAGCGTTGGTGGTAAGGGCGTTGATGGTAGTGGTGATGTGGTGGTGTTGATGTTGATGGTGGTGATGGTGATGGTGGTGATGGTGGAGGTAATGGTGGCAACGGTGGTGATGATATTGGTGATGGCAGTGATGGCGGTGATTGTGGTGATGGTGATGGTGGCGATGGTGGTGGTGATGGTAGAGGCGGTGATGATGATGATGGTGGTCATGGTGTTGGTGATGTTGGTGCTGGTGATGGTGATGATGCCGATGGTGGTGATGGTCTTGATGTTGGTGATTATTTTGGTGGCCATGGTGGTGGTGTTGGCGGTGACGGTGATGATAAAGATAGTGACGATGTTGATGGTGTTGTTGGTGATGGTGATGGT